ACACAACTTTGTGTATTCTTTTTGTTTTAAATGTCTTTATTGATTTTAGAGAGGAAGGGAGAGAGAAACATCAATCGATTGCCTCCTACATGCCTCCCCATCAGGGATTGAGCCTCCAACCTGGGCATGTGCACCGACAGGAATTGAGCCAGTAACCCTTTTGGTGCATGGGATGATGCTCAACCAACTCAGTCACACCGGCCTGGGCAGGGCACACAACTTTGCATTTCTTAGTGCTTTTTATTTCAATTCTTTTGGCATATCTAAGTAGCAGAAAGTAAAATGGTTTTAGTATTGGCCAATCACTGCCATTTTTTAAAAAGGCATTTTCCTTCAAGATTTTTAAGAAAACTTAAAAAAAAAATTGACTCTAGAGAGAGGAAGAGAGAGAAACATTGAGAGGTTGCCTCCCGCATACTCCCTGACCAAGGATTGAATCCGCAACCTGGGTATGTACCCTGACTGGGAATCAAACCAACCACACCTTTTGGTATATGGGATGACGCTTCAACCAACTGAGCCACAATGGCCAGAGCCAGTCACTGATATCTTTATTTTGAAAGTCTGAATTGTCCAATATGTCTAAAGTGCATTTTTGCAGCTAATCAGTAGCAGCATTTGTTTTGTTTATAAAACCTTAAGAAATATTCAGGCAAGAGCTGGAAAAGTCACAATATAAAAGAAAGTGTGATCTATATATCTTCTTCCTTAATCACTCAAGACAAACACTTGCACGAATTAGTTTATGAGTATACAAGAAATATACAAAAAATATCATTATTAAAAAGGTCCATACGGCAATGAGAAAAGAGGGTTTCTCTTTGCTGTTAATATTAAATATGGCAAGGCGTATAATATAAAAAGTTTGTTGAATCCTAGATGTCTTTGGGAAATCTTTGATCTAGGCCAGTGCATAATGTATCTGAGGTCTGTGAGAGTCAACAAAGCTGGACTTCTCCTGGCATGGTTTTGGAAAAATCACCAGCACAATGAAAATGTTCTTTCGTTACCGAGACGTTAGTTCATGGCTTCTTGCGCCTAAAATGCAAAAACAGCATTTAGTGTTGAATTTTGCTATCAATTTCACATTCAGGGCAGTTTAATCTCTAGGAGAGCTTTAAGATAATTCAAACAAAGGACTTGCATGCATGTATATGAGCATAACCAATGGACAGACTGGGGGGCGGGGGAGGAGGGCATGTGCTGGGGGATGGGGACAGCTGGGAAGAGGGCAATGGGAGAAAAAGGAGTCTTATGTAATACTTTTAACAATAAAGAATAAGAAGAAAAGATAATTCCTGGTTTTATCATGGAAAATATTCAAGTCCTTCTGAGAAAGCAAATAACTGTTACCAACTATGCTTATCTAGTATTAAACTTAAAAAACGGATGTCTTTCCATCTTTATCCTGTTACAGCGATTTTATATATTACCTAAGGAATAACATGTGTTAAATATGAACACGTGGACTTATTTAAGTAGATATTTGAAAAGAAGGAGTTTTACTAATATGGAAAAAGACTGTGATCTGGAATGGTCTTTAGAGATCATCCAAGACTCTTGGATATGTGTTTAATAGAAGAGGGAAAGTATGGTTCCTTTCCAAACCTATAAATTTCACCATTGTTTTACTTTAGTGAACACTTAATTGCTGTAACAAGACCAAGAGGCACATTAGGAAAGAATGAATTACAGGAAGAGCTACCATCCCTGACAAAAGCCTTTAACCTCCCCTCCTTATAGGTGATCTCAGTTTAGCCTCTGAAAGCTTTGACCATTGGCAGAATATGAACAAGAATGAGCCAATCTTCCATCTCCTTCTGTTTTGCAGCTCTAATTGCTCTTATCAAGCCCTGCAAGGTCCTCAGCCCTGTTGCTGTCTACTGCAGTCTGCCAGTAGGGCCCAGGTACGCCAAGGGGTAAGCAAAAGCCACTTATGTCCTCTGAAAAGAAGTAGATGGTAGAGAGAAGGGTGGTGTTGGAAGTACTAGAGGGAAAACATACAGGGCCCAATTACCCATACTCACTTGGGTTGTGCATGATGCTGATATCCAGGTCCCAGTTGAGACCCTGCTCTCATCTCTACAGCCACAGAGCACTGATAGGAAAATTACAGAAGAGGAAAAGATCAGTTCCCTCAGAGTCGATAAAACACAGTTCTGTTTAGATAGGTTCCATCAAGGTGAAATCCACCTTGCTTTTCTAGTTCAGCACAGGTACCTGTTAAAATACCAGTCAGATACTTGCAGTTTATTTCACATAGGCCACAAAGACTGTGATCTGGAATGGTCTTTAGAGATTATCCAAGTAATTTTCCTCATTTTAGATAAAGAGTAGTTCTTGAGAAATTAGTGGCTACAGCTTGCCTGGCCCCCACCTTCCATATGGGCCTCTTCTTAGGAACAACAGTTCCACAGCAAAGTTCTGCTTCAGAGATTCCCATCCATCTGAAGTGAATTCTTGTTATCCTAGGGCAGCAATTCTCAACCTTTTTCATCTCGTGGCACACAAGCTAATTACTAAAATTCTGCAGCAATACCAAAAATACCTTTGCCTATCTGACAAAAAAAAAAAAAAAGGTATATACTTTTGATTGACTTACAAAAAAATATATAATAGTAGTAATTATCTACCCTTTTTGCTCCAGTGTTACTTTAAAAAAAAATCAGGTGCCTACACATGTATAGGATTTCTGGTACCAAGAATTAACCAGACAGACACAACCTTATTATGCGACATTATTATATGACCTGTATATTTATGGTTCAAGACAGGGCTGCATTGGCAATGTGAGATCAGACCTCAGCTACTCCAAAGAGCATGAAAAGCTACAGCTGTGGGGCTTAAAATATGACACCCCTCATTTTTATTAAGCAGACAAGTATTTAAGTTTTACCCCTACCCTGGTTTCTACATCGGTCCATTCAGACTCTGCATCATCTGGTTGGGCAGGTGCTACTGTGGAAGATCTTCGTTTTCGACTGGAAAAGGGGGAAACATGATGCAACAATTATTTTTGCATCTAACAACAGAAAACATTAGAAATAGGGGAAATACCACTACAGTTCTTCAGAGAACAAGAACAGAATACACGTTTACAGGCTAGTCTGTTCCTGGAGAATGAGCAGCTAAGAAAACGACAGTCCTCTAAAGGGACACATTTGATGATCACTCACCCAGTCGGTGATTCTTGTTTCAAAGTCTCAATATCAGTAAACTGAACAGCTTGTCCACCACCCCTTGTTTTATAAACATCACCCTAGAGCCAAGAGAAAAGGTCATCATTACACTTTCATACATCCAAATGATAAGCGTACAGATATACTTTAAATGGATACTGCAATCACAAAACCAGATGGTGCTTGGGACTGCTGGGCCTGTACATTAAAATACTTCAGAAATTTGAATACAGCTCTCTCACTAAACAAGAGGTCCACTGCGATATAATCAGTAACATTCTTAACTGCAGAAAATAGTATTCCTTTTCATTCAACTTATAAAAACTATGCTTAGGATCAAGAAATTTCTGAATGTTCTAAGGCATTATACTTTCCTCTCTGGGTGTGCCACCCCCTTCGTATTCAAATAACTGTCTTATTTAAAACTATAGTTATAATAAGAACCATCCTCTAAATTGAATTTGAAATTTAAAACTTTTTTTTCATCTTCACTGATAACTCTACGTTCAGGGGGAAATTCTTCTATAGACAGACAACAAAGGGCTTTGGGTAGCTCAATACTAAGTAATTTTGATAGGTCAAATTTTAATGTGGGCTTTTTATCTTGAACTGACAGGAAGCAAAGGTAGTTCTTTGTTTAGGTTTACTTTTCAAGTAGGGGTTAAAACGAAATACACATTAATTAAAAGTATGTAATAAATCTGGCATTCCTCTAACAAACCTGAGAATCTAAACTTCATTAAATAGAAAGCAAATTTAGTCCTGGTTTAACAGATTCACATCCCAAGCAGTTACTTTAGTTTTGTAACAGAGAGATTATATCCTATACCCATTTATGTCCCAGTGGACACTGCCTGTGTGTCATCGAAGGAATGGAAGGACAAATGGATTTTTGTTGACTTTTTTCCTCCTGTACAAATTTGTTTTTACCTTAATTAGTTTAGTTTCAATCTCCCCATCGGAGGCTAGTTCTTGGTGGGTCAGCATGTACTTCTCACACTTAGCTAGTGCCTTTTCATTTGCAACAGACACTGTGATGGCATGAGGGACATGTGGCTGCATGACTGTTGCAGTTTGCACGTTAGAGGCAGGCTTATGATCTACCCATCTGTCTCCTGCAGAGCGTGATCGTCTGTGTCGGAGACGAAGTGGTGGTGCGTTCTGATCAAGTTGAAAGGAATCAAGAAACAAGCATAACCCAGAATTAATTTAAGGGTATTATTAGAAGTGCAGCAGGTTTGGCTACATTAGTTGATGACAATATAAAACAAATGCATGAACTTTTTCAAAAGCTAAATATGTTATTCAAATGCTTTAAATGTCCTCTTTGAATTTAAACACAAAACCAACAAGCATCTTTTAACACCAGCTTGTATATTATACATTCTACCAGGAACTTTCCTTTCAACAAAGAACGGAAGGAAAAATCCTGGTAACGTTGTTAGTCTTCCCTGTGTAGGTAATATTCAAGACAAAATCATTTCATATTCTTGATCAAAACCCAATATTTGTGCTTGCTATTGTGAGGTAATCTATTAAGCCCACAACTATGTTAAAAGCTTCAATAATAATATCAATAAAAGCCTAAACATTTCATAGATCTCTAAATAAAAGAGAAAACATGCCTTATACAAAGACAAAAATAAATAAATAAATAAATAAAAGCTGATTGGCCTGTATAATACAAAACGCTAAAGAACATAAGAACCCCATGTATAAAATGAGCAAATGAATGTAAATAAAGTACTTCTGAGTATTTTCTGAAATTTTAAAATCTCTAAATAGAAGTTCATTAAAAAGTCAGATACAACAATGGCTATAACATATCCCCACGCCCCAAACATTTCATAAATGGTTCTAAGAACCAGATAAATAATATAATGTTAGACCATTCTCTATCATACAATGAAAAACTATTTGCTTCCAAGTCAAATGTCATGTAAGTTTGGAAAAGCTAAATTTATTATATTCAATCTGAGAAAACATCATATAAGACATAGTTAATAGTTTGAAACAATGAGTTATCTTTGGTAATTTGCCAATTGTTTGTAAAACTGAAAGCAAATGAAACTGTGCTACAGGCCAAATCCTTCCAAGCTAGTCAAGAATGAAGACCCCAATTTCAAAATGCATATCTAGAGCACTATTTTCCCTATATAATTAGAAGAAACAAATGAAGCACTAGTGCTACATCATGACAGTATAAAACACGACCAATATAGTTTGTCCCAAAAGATGCCCAAGCTTCACAGCAAGCAGGAAACTTTCCATTCTAAGATAGTCTGGCTCTCATGATCTACATTTAGCAAAAGTGATAGTTTTCTTGAGCACATTTAGCAATAAATGTATTCTGAAACAAGCTTCAGAAAGATGAAGCTTTAACAATCTACAGTTTATGAAATAAATGATATTTAAAATTTCATCCTTACTGAAGTATAATTTCAACCTACAGGACATAATTTTTGATCAACAAACCTAAATGCATAGATACTAGCCCAGGGGTGGGCAAACTTTTTGACTCGAGGGCCACAATGGGTTCTTAAACTGGACCGGAGGGCCTGAACAAAAGCATGGATGGAGTGTTTGTGTGAACTAATATAAATTCAAAGTAAACATCATTAACATAAAAGGGTATGGTCTTTTTTTTTTTTTTAGTTTTATTCATTTCAAACGGGCCGAATCCGGCCCGCGGGCTGTAGTTTGCCCACGGCTGTACTAGCCTAAACTTTTCTGCTGCACTTCTTAAGAGATTTTGATTTCAAGTGAGAAGTTCAAGTATCTCTAGTAAATCCTCTTAAATATCTCCTAGCCAAATTAGGTGTTAAATTAATGTTGACCAGGCATAAGCAAACCATGAGTAGTTTTGTCTGTAAGCTTTTATGAAATAAAGGGGATTTACTAGAGTTGATCAGAAAGACCAGTCACCATCATTTGCTCCCTAAAAAGGTTTAAGGCAGTATCTGCAAAGAACAGAATTTAAGAGACTTAAAAAAAAAAAAAAAATCAAAGGCAAATAGTTACTATAAGATTAATTTGTTTAGAAGAAAAAATTTAAAAGAGCTATATATTAAGATTTTACTAACTGTAGGTTCACACTAGTAACTTGATTCATTTATTCAGATTTAGGGGAAAACTTTACCTTAATCCTTAAGAAGAAAATATAAATGTGGATTTATTTAAACACCCTTGATTGAGGCAGAGCCCTTGTAAATTGAAATAAAGGTCTTGAGATTAAAAGCAATTTATTAGGCATGCAAACCTTCAGTAGTTATAAAATAACTGGCCTGGACTCTTCAAAATAGTCCATGTCATGAAAGTAAAAACAAGAGCAGAGGACTATATATTAAAAGAGATTAAAGAGACATAACAACCACATGCAAAGCATTCACCTTGATAGAATCATGAATGGAAAACAGGAAAACCATTACTGGGACAACTGGGGAAATGTAAACATGAACTATATCAGAGGACATTTATTCAGAATTAATATTACCTTTCTTTAGTGTGATAAAGCTTATGGTTATAAAGAATTATGTCCTTATTCTTAGGGATGAAGTATCATGAAGTCTGACTACTTTCAAAGGTTCAAGGAAAAAAATGTTTACATATCTATATAAAGTAACGATTGGTACATCTAGGTAAGGGGAAAAAAACATACTGTACCATTCTTTCAACTTTTCTTTGAGTTTGAAATTTTTCAAAATAAAAGTTGGAAAGATAGTTTTAAAAAGTAAAAGTTAAAAAAATAAAAGTTCAAAAGCAGCAAAAAACCTAACTTGGGAAGAAGCCATAAGAAAAAAAAATTTGGAGCCCGGATGGTGTGGGTCAGTGGTTGAGCATCAACCCATGAACCAGGTCATGGTTGTATTCCCCGTCAGGATACATGCCCAGGTTTAGGGCTCGATCCCAAGTAGGGGGCATGCAGGAGGCAGCCAATCAATGACTCTCTCATCATAGGTGTTTCTCTCTCTCCCTCTTTGAAATCAACAAGAAAATATTTTTTTAAAAAAATCAGAAAATGTGTTATGACACTCATATCCACATGCTTATTAGCTTATGCAACTAAAAAGCACAGATTACTCCGGCATGTGCCCTACTGACCTTGTGTCACTGAACACAGGCATTTTAAAAAAATGTGTTTTTTTATTATTATTTTAAAATCTTTTTTTACTTTGTTTTTATTGATTTCATAGAGGAAGGGAAAGGGAAAGAGAGAAAAACATTGACTGGCTGTCTCCAGCATGCCCCCTACAGGGGATTGAGCTTGAAACCTCGGTGTGTGCTCTTACCAGTAATGAAACCAGTGACCTAGCGGTGCATGGGATGATGCTCAACCAATTGAACCACATGGGCCAGGCTTTTTCAGCTCAAGAGCTAGGCCTCAATTTTGGGATGATTTGAACTTTCAAATTAATATAAAAATTAGACCTTATTTATAATGGACCTCACCCACCTTTCTGTCGAATTTTCTGAACCAAGTTATAAAAACACAAGATTAAATTCTATTGCTATAATGCTTTAAAATAACACTGGCACTAACCCTGTCGCTTTGATCCTCTTCTACTTCTATCTCATTTCTGAATGTAGGAACCAACTCCCTGCCTTCAGTCCAGCACATCCCTCGCCTTCTGTCTGACACGATACAAGTTTTACTTTGTCCTGGCTCCTGCTGCCTACGCCTTGCAATGGATGTGACATTGGGAGGTGTGTTGTACGAAGGAATTTTCTGCTCCCATTCCGAAATACAGGAAGCTACAGAGATGCTGCTGCAAGAGTTAGAGCGCCTATGTAGATGTGGCTGGCTCATGAGTTGCTGGCCGTTGGAAATCTGAGCAATATAGTTACCAGAAAGCTAAAAAAATTGAAAAGAAATTAATGAGCAAGACTGAAAAACTGAGAGAAAGAATTCATTACTTTTCTATAATTTAACACATGAAAATAACATTCTAATTATTTGTACTAAATTACTACATTTTTATACTAAATTTGTGTTTATACTAGATTAAAACAAATAGATGTCTGAGAAATATAAGTAATATAAAACAAAAAACTGATTCTCATAAAAACAGTCACTACACAACTACATTACTAAATTACTACACAACTACAAATAACTTACAGGTACTGGCGATGGAGAAACAGATCTTTGAGCAGCTTTTTCTCGATCCCGCTCCCGAGAGGGTCTCTCTGGCTTTTCAGTTTTGGGTTCAGTAACAATAGCCTTCAGTTGTTTCAGTTTTTCATCTTTCACCCAGAGCTTATTTTGCATCTCCAGTTGTTTAGCTGCTACTCGACGCTCCTATGGATTATCAATGGTAAGGTATGTTCTAATCCAATTACACTATACAAGTACACCAGATTACTGAAACACTGTCATAAAAACTAGTTCTCCAATTCTTCCTGAGGTAACTACATTTCATAATGTTAATGAATTTCAAGGGTAGAGAAAGGAATGAACTGAATAGGCAACTACTGCCGCCACCACCAAAACCCTAACCCAGGTAGTCATTCAAAACACTACAATTTGAAATAAGTCACCCGTCTCTGCGATAGCAGAGGGATGAGACTCACGCATTCTTTCTCCCACTTCATTGTTGTTTCCGTCACCATGCCTTGCAACCTGGCTTCTAGTCTGCGTTTGTCAGAAAACTGTTGCTGAAGTTTCTGATTCTGGGCCTCAAGTTCCTGTTGCAGATTGCGCTTATCTTCTTCATAGATAGTAGTTGTTTTCTCTAAAATTTCAATCTGGAAGGCAGACCATTATGTTCAATAATTGGTATGTAAATATATAGCTCTAAAACAATCTTTTATAATTTGTTATGGCAAGCAGAATTGTGGAAAGAAAAAGTCATGGATAAAGCATTTTCCTCTAAAATTTCAACTGAATTTACTACCTTAATTCCTAGAAATGACAACTTTTTAAACATGTTCCTCACACTGAAAGATGAAGTTATGATTTAATGTAAAAATTATTTTCCCCTAAAATCAAGCCTATTATTTTTTCCTTCTTTTATCAGCCAGGTCATCCTAACAGTCCGAATTCCCAAACACTGGACTGCTGCTTGGTTTGGCCCTAAGTCTAGTCACTGGGCCTGTGCTAGTGGAGGCTGGTCAATGTTGGAGGAAGATGTTGCCTTTTCTATATCCATCACTGCCTCAGGCCCAGGGTCTCTGCACAGCTGACTATTGTGTTGGCAGCAAGAAGGGCACCATGTATTATACTGAGGTGTGTTGTATGAAGGTGGAGTCAGAACAGACCTTGGTTCAGCAACCTCAGTAGAGTTCTGGCTAAGAAAGAATTCAGAGCCAACACTCAAACGAAAAGACAGCTTATTTAGAAAGTCACAGAGGTAGAAGTGAGCAGTGGAAGAAAATAAGTTAGAGAGGTAAAAGGGGCCTTGGAGCTTAGGAAAGACAAGCTCAAGGGGGGGGGAGGGGGGAGTGTGCGGCGGGAGATGGAAAGAGCCGCCGTTCTACTCGAGGATAATGTTTCCATTGATTTAAA